AGTGAGTATAAAAATATATCAGGAATTGTCTCACTTCTCTCTCTTTCTCATTTTCTCTACTACTCCCTCTACTTGCTTGGAACTACATTATTATCAATATAAAATCCTCTATAAAATCTTTTTTTTGTAGTGCGTTGGATGAAGTTTCTGTTTAGTTCTCGACTAAACGACGGTGCTAGGAGTGCCTTAGAACGTCACATTTTTTAAATATTTATTAAATCAAACTTAACGTGTAGTCATGAACAGTGATCGTGGTACAACGGAATACCGTCAGGTTGGAAACTCCCGTTTCTTAATTCGACGTGTTGAAGATACCTCTATTATGAGTTCAGATAATGAAAGAACCATCACACCAGCAAGAGATTCAAACATCAGGAGGACACTAAATAGGCTAAGCTGGCCAAGTGACTATTCATCGTATAATAGTTCTTCAACCAGTGGCTCTTGCTTCAACAATTCTAAAGAGTAAGAACTGTGATCTAAAGATGTAAAGATATGTCAATAGTGTTACGATATAATTAAGTTCGAGTTTAAAATTGAAGAAAACATTTTAAAAAATGTTGTTAAATTTTAAGCTTTTTGTGGGTAAATGTTAATTTTATAATAAATTTAGTATAATTTGATGACAATAAGCATTTTTAATTGTTCCACTCTGTCCTTTTCCATACTATTTCCTTCTCTTTAATAGATTGGACTATTCAAGATCTCTGGAATGTGATTAAAAATGGAACCTGTTAGAGACATTCTTCACTAATGTTTTTGGTACTTCATGAAGACAACACTTTAAATGATACATTTTCATATCCATAATTAACTGTAGTACCAACTAATTATCCTAGACACGATGAAAAACATATAATTTCAATAATAATTTGATGTAAGACTCATATTTAGACTGCCACTCAAATTATCAAATCACATCCTAAAGCAAAGTCACATCTGATGTTATATTTAATTTATATAACCTTCGTCCGCTCGCTGTCTGATGGTGTGTCAAATATTGTGATTGAATTGGTTCAGTATTACTCATAACGGCTCCAAATAAAAACCTTGTTAGGCAGTATTGTTCAGCAATTGTTCACCAGGCAGCTTCACTATCAGCTTTTGTGGAAATGCCGGTTTGGTTAACACATACTTAAACCTTATTAGGCTTTCGTACAGTGCCCAAATAGGTAACTCACCCAAGGAACAGTTGGATACCTATTGGCGTCGTGCTCAACATACATTTATGTATAAATATGCATGATTGTACATAGCGCCCCTATTGGAAAACTTTGAAACGTTTGGTCTTAATTATCATGATGTCAGAATATATTCGTGTTTGTATATGTATGTGGTAGTCCAATGTACAGCTATTCTAAATATTCTGATATCATTTTACACAAGTGTTGGGCAGTTTTCCGTTTTGCACTATTTAAAATTTAGGCACAAGGCAAATAATTTATTTATCAACGAAGTTACAAATAATTCCGTAGTGGCTCAGTCGTTCGCTCTTACGCGAACTAGTGTTTTATTTAATAATACCAACCACTATCTTATGCTAGAAAGGTACAAAATCGCAAGATTTTTGAAAGCTTAGATATAAAATTACAAGTCTATTACAATGATAAAGATAAAAAACTATGAGCATCACAATATCATTAATTAAGGTTTCTATCCCTCTCATAAAATGTTAAAGCAGAATTGTATACACGTACATCCCTGTTGACAAAATGAAGGCAATTCCAAGTCAGTAGCATACCTTCAATTCTTTAGTGTCGAAACAGAACGAACTGATTATCAGTACAGAAACATGACGTGAGCATGATATGAATAGTCCAAAATGGCGTCTTTCCAAGTAATGTTAGTGTAAAACCGTCAGATACTCGCTTTTTCTTATTCATCCATTTCTTTAATCTCGGTTTAATTTCAATAAAGAAACTGATGTAAATTATCCGTTTTTTAGAGTTCCTGATATTTTATTGTTTAGCAACGGGAAGTACTTAAAAAGCTGCATTACGTGCTGTCTTTAATACATAAAGTCTTTTAAAACTCCAAAATTTTTTAATTGCTGTTACAAAATTAAACATCCTTTGAACTTTTTTTGTTCAGTTGTAAAGAAAAATTGTATGAAATACTAGATTTCGTACTGGATAGCGTAAGTCGTGAACTTGATTTGATCTGCTGCATAGAGCGCAGTAAACTTCCAAAGGTAAACAACAATACCTAAAATAGGGAAGGTAAATTTACATTTACGAGTTATTAAAATCCACTATTATCAATGAAATTTAATGTAAGATAACTGAAGAAGGTAGAAAAGGAATATATTTTTTTTTAACGCCCCATTGATAAAAACGGAGTCTTCAATAATGTATGATGGCACAAGCAAACGGGTTGGTAACTCCTACTTATGTCTATCATGTGTGTGACCTAAAAGAATATTTTACTTTTTAGTTTATTAATTACATTTTGTCATTTTTAAATTACTAAATGTGTTATACGTGCTTTGCGCAATTTACGTTATTGTGAAAACTTTCATAATTACTCATAAAGTTGTACCACACTAATTAACAGAACAGAATTTTGCTTACGATTTGCGATTAATTCTCTACATACATTGTGGTTTTTGCTTAAGTCATTTTCAAAACATTGTAGGACAAATTAAGACATAATTTTTATCGATTCACTGGTCGATTTCACATAAATAGGCATAAATAACTTTACTTGTGCGTCTGCTCATAATATTTTACTTTATCTTTGTAATAGTCCCATAACTGTTGTTTTCTTCTCACCGTTTATTTGGGCAATAGATAAATCGTCGTAATATTTTTGTCATGAAGTGATAAATATTTCAGAAAAATTCAGAATTTTAATTGTTTTTACAGTGAATAAACCAAAAATTTTTAAATAGAATCATAAAATTTGTTGGAATCAAATCATAAAATATATTTAATCTATCAAATCACAAATGAAAGGTTTTAATAATGATAATTCGTACGTTCAAAATAGTAGTTAATGAATTCAAATCATCGGTTTGATAAAAAAATAAATATTTATTTTCTTACTTAAGTAATTTTGAGTTTATATCAACTGTTGGGCCCGTAGCCTTTCGTATTGAAGTAGACTACCCTAAAAATGACTATTGAATAGAAGTTTACAATATCTATTCAATTAAAACAAAAAAATTGTATGACAATCACATATTATATACTACATTATTAATTACACGTTTTCTATGGAATATTTTTGTAAAAACTAATGTCAACTGAATCTCGAATCACGCAGATAGTAAAAAGTAAACAAAATAATAATCACAGTTATTATCACACCTTGATCGATTTAAAACTTGAAATGTATATACATAAATGTTGTGTCCTATGAAATTCTACAATATGCGATAAACTAAACCAAGAGCTCTACATGAAACAATGATAAAAACACAGCTACATTTTTTAACTTTTTAACAATACATGTACTCATCAGAAATTCATTAAAATTTTGCAATTTTCGTATTTATGCATTTCTGCGCCAAGTTACGTCAAATAATTCGAATAAGACGTCTTGAAGAGGACCAGGTGGAATCTGTTTTATTTCATTATTCAAGCTATGATACGTTTGTTCCATGCAAATCGAATACGCCTTCGGTACTTCCAAATCTATGTACAATTGCTTTACTTTGGCAACTTTTTTCGGGTCGTCTACACCATAACACTCCTGAAAAACGTAATAAAAATTAAATAATAATAATAATATTAATAATAATAATAATAAAAATAGGAAAACTCGATGGAACTGACCTGAAGGATCTTCCTCTGTTCTAGAGTAGCACGCTGATAAGCATCGGCAATCAACCACGTGCATTTACCTTCCTGAATATCATTTCCCTCCTCACCAACGGCTTCCGGGTGGCTAAAACAGTCGAAGTAGTCGTCTTGCATTTGGTAAAAAGGTCCCATCTTTAGCAGAATTTCCTTTGTCTGCTTATGTACCTCTGGATCTCTGATCTCAGCCTATTGAGAATTACACATATAGAGGAAGAAATCACTATTGATCGTTTGGCACAATGCTTTCGAAAGCTTTCTTATGTCGCTCATAACTTGAATTACTGTTTCTAATTGAAATTTGTGATTGCTTTCGTCCAATATTTATTTTTATTATTTACGTAACAGATAAGATATTGCAAAGCTAATAAAATTTGTAAAACCTTACAGGAGAAGAACGTGATTTATATTTTGAGGACACTTACCAAGTACATGGCAAACTGCATCGGTAACAAGAACGCCATGAAGCTTGATTTGTACTTGGTGATCAAATTAAACCTGTCTATGGTAAACGCGCTCCAATCTGACTTTTTCAATGCATTTGTGGCCATCACATCCAGAGCTTGACCGATTGTTACGTCCATAATAATCTGAATAACAAAAAAACAAAGAGTTTCTTTTATTCTTTTCATGCATTGCATCAATGCTGGTGACTATCCACTAACAACGCACCTCCTGCATGGCTTCCATGAGTTCAAGATAACAGGGCTTGTCTTTGAAGTGCATGCGGAGCAGGTGAAAGGTTGCATGCTCCAGAAGAACGGCATCGTTCACGGCAGTATGGCCCACATCTTCCAGGCGATACCAGCACGGCTGCTCTCTACGTGACTGCGAGTTGTCCAGTATGTCATCTATTATCAGGAAGTGACTTTGAATCTGTGTGGAATAGAATAGTGCTATCATTTTACTGTCATTTAAGCATTGTTATGTATATATAAATATAAAGATTTACTATTTCTGTACACCAGCAAAGTATTCGCATCAGTCGAAGGTTCTCGGCAGTGAGAAGGTCTGGACGTGCGAGTTTTTTGTACGCGAGGATCAGCCACTGTGCCCTGTACTTCTTGCTGTTTGGCACATTATATTGCAGTATCTGCGTGATCAATAGTGGCATTAAAATTGATTACATTTTCCTTTTTTTTTATAATAGTTTAACTGAATTACAAGTCGCTGGTCAACAGATATTTGCTATGCACTGGATTGGCGATGGCACTGTGTTTCATTGGAATACAGATTGAAAAATAAAATTTAACATAAAAAAAATCCGAGCAAACCAATTCCACGTAAAGTAAGGTATTATTTTTAATAGTAGACATGTTGCATAGTAAATGTTTTTCATCAAATGCCCATAACTTGCCACAATTTTACTTTTGAACTTTAGCTGTTTTCATCTTGGATGTAGTTACACAAAATAGTCTTACACCCATCAAGTGTGAAATTTGTTTTGAGCCACAGAAAATTGTGGAAGGAAAATATTTTTCAAAATATATTTTGATGTCTGTTAAAATAATTGTTTACATGTGGTATCACAGTCGTTAACTTTGTGAGTTTTTATTTGCGTATTAACTGCTGGGGATTATTCAACCACAACAATGCTAAAGATAAGTGAAATTCTTCAAGTAAGTATAACTATATTTCATTATGCAAGCAGCTATCACTCTTAAAAAATAATAAAAACATGTGTTGTGACATTTAAAATTTTTTCTGGTTGTTTTGATCAATTGAATCAAGATACAAAACATGGAAAATAAACAGCTGATTTTTCGCTCACGACTATTATTAAAATCAGAAGATAAAATACATATGAACTGATTACCTCTGCCTTAAATGACTTGCGAGTGATTGCATCAACAAAATTCGTTGACGTTAATCGCAACTACGCAAGCTTGAAAATCATCATTTTTTATTGGATCATTCATCTCTGATAACCGAAATAGACATTTATAAACGTCTGGACTTATTTATGGAATCTCAAGTAATGTGCGCAAAAAGTATTAGAAATACGTACAAGTGTGATAAACAAACTTAAACTCCATTGCATTGAAAACAAGTCGAATGTAAAAAAAAAAAAAAAAAAAAAAAAACTTGAATTGGCATACCTTGGCCAGCCACTCGGTAGCATCTGGCACATCGAAGTGTCGTTCACTACTTGTGATATCTCTGACAACATCTGGCCAAAGAACTTCCATTTTCTGAATCTCATCCGTCATAGTCATGTTACGGCTGATCTTCACCATCGGGTATACGTTGCTCATGCTCCTTCTGCTCAACAAACAATGACGGTATGTGCATAAATATTTTGAAAAAACAGTAGGCAATCTTTTTTTTTCCTAAAATATAGGGGAAAGGAGTGTTTTGGATTTGTCACGTCAGTACCATGATCAAAAGCTATGGATGTGCTTTATTTATTAAATGCGTTTTATCTTTTCGAGAGCAATAAGCAAAGGCGTTTTCGGTCATTTGTTACCAATCAACCGTTGTTGACGAGTTAAAAAATTTGATTTTTCTTGCTAAAAACAATTATTTAATATTCTTCAGTTCGTACTCAGCATGAAAAGTATCTTTTGAAATTGTCACACGTGAACTTTTTAGTCTTGGAGTAAAAAATTCAAATTCAAAAAGCTTGAAAAAATTTATTTATTTATTTTTTCTTTTCCTGAACACTCAGACTAATATCAATACACATCCTGGCGCATATCCAACCAGGGCAAGGACAAAGAGTTCCGTGAGCCTGGTGCTTGTCTTGGAGACATGCACCACCAGGTACGAAAACTACCATTTCTACACCCTCATAGAAAATCACTGTTCGTGCTAAGTAAACTTTCATAATACTCCCAAACCACAAGAAGAACCTCTTGTTAATGATCTTACACAATGTCTTTTTTATTTGTCTGGTCCTCGACAGCTACTAGCGATTGAGGTATAGTGATAGCACCATATGAAGTACAGATAACATATTTATCAAACCAAAAGTTCAGATATTACCTTTCTAATACAAAATTTTCCAAAACCTCTTTTGAAACATAAAAATTAAAATGATATACTTTCTTCCGTTCAATAATTGGCGAAATATACTTACTACGAGGTAATCGGAAGATTCGTAGTAGAAGCTTATAGTAAAAAAAAAAGATAGCACCGGAAACAACAATAAGGATATCTCACCTAGGTTGTTTTCCATACCCCGACTGAACAATACCAGCGCTGGCAACAGTATCATTACTCCTGAGGGCCTGTTTCTCCAGTAGACTGCTCGCCACGGTGAAGCTGTTTCTTAATATCCTTACCACCGACATGACTACTTCCTGAGGCCGTTGATGACAAAGATTATGCAGACACTACCGTTGGTGCATTATGTATTTATATACGCTAACATTGGAGCACCGAGTACCAAGAGTAGGGATGATTAATACGAAGAAGCTTTGTTAAAAAGGAAAAGACTGTTCAGATATGCTACTCAAATTGCTTGTCATGACAACAGTTAAAAAAATTAAAGAAAATGATAAGAGCTGCATTCTGTTTTTTTTCCTTATGGCACAATTTTTCTGGTGAAACTGTAAATTATAACATTTAGAGAATAATAATGAATAAGATTTTAAGATCAAAGGGCCTTAAGTCTATGTATTGACTAATAAAAAAGTTCATAAATTTATAAATAGTAAGATAAGTCTTTAGACTGAGCATATAAGTATCTTTCATAGGTAAAAATGTATAAGCGTGGATGACTTATAAATCCACTGCTTCAATTTTTTTCAATGTGTTGGGAAAAAAGGTTATTTGAATGTATCGCTACTTACAAATTTTATGCAGGATAATTTTTCGTCGATTGGCAGTCATTTTATCTAAAAACTTGTTATTACACTTACCTACCTGATTTTTCATAAAACTTTATGAATATTTTTAGACAAGAAAAAAATCGCATAGTTAAGTGCTAAAAGCTGCAACATACGGGTTACTATTAAATGGAATTTTTTTTTATTCTTTAACGGAAAAATTCAAACAATTGCTATCTAATACTGTTAATTTAATTAATTAAAGTATTCAAATAAAATTTTAGATTATAATATTTATTAGTAAAGTTTCTAGAAACCATTTTTTTGTCCTGTGTTTTTAAAATCTGAATTGGTTTTTAATTTCTGGATTCATCTTTTCAATTTTTAAAGTGATAAGATGTTTTTTTTTGTTTACATTAATATCGTGCTGTTATATTAATGTTGCCACGTACCAATAAGGTAAGGCAAGGTGTGTATTTATTAATCCACAGATAAGCACAAAGGAAATCATTATCACACAATTGATTTATTGGTATTTTATTACAAAGAAGTTTATAAATATTAATTATTTTTCCCTGTTACGAAATTTTTAAAAATTTAAAATTAGACTGTACTTTTTTACTGCCATTTTTTACGTGCACGACTCGTAGCATTCAACAACCTAACTTTTTATGATGAGGTAGACATACCTCCGAGCTAGGTGTCGACTAATTAGTATAGTTCCAACAAAAAACGCTTGCCTGTGACTAAAAAATCTAACGAGTTCATGCGAAAGAGCTCGACGCGAAACCGAGTGCTGCGCGACAATCGTGCTGTGGAATTTTCGAATGTGTGGAGGAGACCTCGACAAATTTGTGTCGGGTCTCATTTCTTAAACAGTTGGTTTTTCTCTTCGTGCACCATCAGTGAATAAACGCAGTGTGGTACTCTATAAACACGTAACCTTTATATTGTCTCGTTCTGTTTTGCTTTTCAAAATAATAATCGTAATAAAGAGACACAGTTTAGAGCTTCAAAGCGATATCAAGATGGTCTTTGTCTTTTACGGTTTTATGCAATAAAAAATAATTAATTAGTAAATCGTTCTGTCGGAACAGAGTAAACTAATTTATGTCATGCAAAAAAAAGTACTTGAGTGAATATTTTACTAAACAATTAAAGTTACTTTATACACATTGCATACATCTAAATATACCATATCTCTCTCTTTCTCTCTTGCACATATCTTACTCCGACAATTACCAATTTATGAGTATTTTACTTATTTATCCGTAATTGTTTAGACAAAAATGGTTAGTACAGTGATATGTTTAGTTTCTCACAGGCAAAAAACTTTAAGTTACTTTTTTACTCATTAGACAACTTCTTATATCAGAAAAAATGAAGGAAAAATTTGAATAATTAACTCACGTTTTTTCTTGTATGATATCGAAGTTTTTTTCCTTCAATTTGACTTAATGCTTATTTCACGTTAGTATTTTAAGAATATATTTAAAATATGTTATTACGTTGGATGACTTTCTTTTTTATCGTTGTAGAAGCTTGTTTAGTGCATCATTATCTACATTACAGCAATGAAATTAGGATACAGGGATAACCAAGACTCATCAATAAAACTTCCTTCAAAATTTTTGATAAAAATTTTTTTTATTTATAAATTATTTCATGATTTTATACTGTCATAATAACAATGATGGATACAAAGTTTAGTTTTGATAACAATTTTTTAAGTGAGGTTCATAGTCTTTATTAAACGATAGTTAATACTACAAAGTCATAACTATTTTAACGTTTTTATTAACTTACTTCAGGATTTAAAAAACTTTATCTTAAAAGTTTATTAACCCAGACGATGAAAGTTCTAGAAAATGTAAAAGTTGAAAAAAAGGGAGTAGTTTATCGTGCTTAATCTCAGGAAATAAGCAATAAAGGTGATGATGAAGTAAACAGGTTAATAAATCTTTCTATGATGTTATTCAAACTAAATGCAATTTATTTTATACATCATTTGGTTGAAATTAGTTTGAAATTCAAAGATGAGCTATTTTTTTTTATTAGAACCACATTGAAAACAAGATGAAAAGCACGACTTTTTAGTTGTAGAATCAATGGACTTAATACTCTTGCTTCTCATCGTGTCAGATTTGGAGCTCGTGGACAGTAGTGTCTCTAAGAAAGCATAAAAAATTTAGTGAGTAAGCGATGTCACTACTACACTACATGACGCACATGTACATAATATCTTTTTAAAGCATAGTAATGCTAGCATGTTATCATTCACTGATTGCACATTACCATATTTATATCATCTTACGAATAGGCAATACCCCTTAAGCCATTCGAGGCATATGAAAACATTTTTTTAATGTAAGACCAATTACACCCAAAGCTCTTTACTTTCAAACATTAAGTAAAAAACTTCTTATGTCCGATTGAAAAGGGAGAAAATTAAATTAATGCCTCGAGAAGAAGTACTTTCTAAGTTTAGAACATCAAATTATTGCCAGAAGAAAAAAATAGTACTTTTAAATTTACGCGCATGACGTACTGTTTCACACTCATTACACATAATGTCGTACGAGACTTGGATTCATTGTTTTGACTCTCTAGTAATTATTCTGACCGCGTAGTACCTCCGATTCTGTATCTAATTTAAGCTTTGAATCGACCATAGTGCCTTAGCAGTTCAGCCATGATTAATTTTTTCCCTAGTTCTTTGCTTTACTTTTGGCAAGGTGATAACGTAAAACCACTGTGTTGGCTACGCTGTACAAAGATATTGAACAAGCACTAACATGATCATATATACTCACTGTATTTTCCGTCGGGCCCTTGATCTGGGACGTCTTTAAACTCAACATCAAAAGCATCCTTGTCAGACATGATTGAACGACTCTTCGGACTGTTGATTGAATTAGACTCCACGAACAATTTTTTCCACCAAACTTATTGAAAAATGCTTTGAATCTTTGTTCGAATAACTAAACTGAGACTTGATAAAACTCCGGTTTTAATAGTCGATACTCTGAGTAAAAATAAATTACAACACAGACATCAGAGGGGATACCCAGAAAGATAGAGAGGATGCGTTCATTACTATTTTATATGCTTGTGATGCGTCGTTGATTCACGCATCAAGTATAAGTGAAAAAAGTGGCGTGTGAGCGTGCGTCTACGTATAGAAATTTTTGGCTCCAAGGATATCGAAATAATCAGTTTAATTTGTTATATAAGCTCATTGTTAACAGAGACTTTATTGCAAAAGTATTGTGTACAACGTGCACCTGATCGTGCATAAAATATTTCAGTAATAGGCTGGATAAATGGACCTGGAGATCGTTTGCACGCCACAATTTATAGTCAATAAAATTAAAAAAGAAAATGGCTCCCGAGGTGCCATAAAAATTTATTATTGTAAACAACATAATGTATGAAAAACATCTCTGGCGAAAATTCTGCATTCAAAAAAGTTAAAGTCTCTTGTGAGATGATAAAATTACTGAATAAAGATACTTTATACTGCAAGCTTTAACGGTTACACTATACTTACAAACCATACCGGTTCACCAGTGCACTTGTACTCATCTTACTTTTTTCCCTTCGATTTTTATAATTGCATTTCATGCATGGGAAACATTTTTTGGCTTCCAAAGCCCGAAGATAAGCACTTTGGCGAGTCTCCCTTTACTCTGTAAACGCGTCTTAAGCGCTCTCTTTCTCCTATCCCTTTTTCCGGCTCATTACTCTAATCTGGTTACGTAACGCACGTTGCGCTAATCTCCCGTCTTTTTTTTTTTTTTTTTTTTTTTTTTTCCTCAACAACCCATTGAAAAGCCGTATTTATTTGTAATCCCTAGCGTTTCACGCGATTATTACTATACGCGATGATAAACATCTCCTTTCTTATTGCAAGAAAAATAACTCATCATATTTCTTAAACGAAAATTAAAACTAACCATGAACCATTTGATCTCTACCATACGTATTTTGATTTTATCCTTAATGTGAGCTGAATGGCACCATTTCAGGGAAAATAAAACCTGTTGTTATCAACCTTTACTCTCAAGCTGGTTACCTTGGATTACCTTAGACCACTCGCTTTTCATTCATGTACCTTGATCTTCATCAGTGAACCGCAAAATTTCACACGCCAGTTGCGCACGTGCATTTGAGCTGTAGGTATTACAAAAAGACGCGAGGACGAGCCCCAAGAAGTCCTCGAGAAAAATAGAACGAAGAGATAAAAGTGGAGCCTAAAAGAGCGAAGTAGATGCAGGGGTTGGGTGGGAGAGGGGGGGGGGTAATTGCTCGCTACGGTGTTTTTCTCGAGGATGCAAGGAGGGAGCTGAAAAAGGAAAAAGAGGATCTACAGCTGCTTGCTGGTTTTTCCTCTCCTATTATTTTCTCCAGACTGTTTTCCGGCCTCGCTCTTCGCATAAGCATAAATTGCTTGCGAGCCTAGTTTGAGCATATAGGCATTGCAGCATCCAGCGATCCAAGGAAAACAAAATAAAGCTCTTGAG